CAAACTTTGTTTGCAGCGACGCAAGCGCGACTCGCCATTGCTGGGGTGTGTGACTCTGCAGTGTTGGGTTAGCAGCGGCGGTCTCAAACGCAAAGGCAACGGAAGTTTCCCCCTGCCCGCTTGGTAGCACAGGAATATAGTTTTCCCCGTAGCTCGAGGCACACAGAATGTAGCTTGTGGTTGCCGCACCAGCCATCATGTTGACTTTATTCTCAGTTAAATCAGACGTGAAGTCATCTGCGTTCTGCCCAATTTCGCACGCCGTGGTAGTGACACCTCCGATTTTGCAAAATGACACAACACACTTGTCATCCATGCGGACCAGTTTCACAGCGCTATACAAGGGCGGCGGCGGCAAGAACGTCAATGTGACGGTTTCCTTGGCAGTGATCGGGGTAGTTGTCGATGTGTATCGCAGGTTAAATGTGCTCACATACAGATTTTTTGCCTCACATGTAGGCACAACAGGGATCATCGTTCTTGGACGTGCAATGGACCACGTGGTGGAGTCTGCAATCCGGTAACAAATCTGCAAACATTGCTTACCACTTCCAACCACGTCGTATTGGTACGTTTTGCCGGCTTCCAACTCCACTCCGTTTGCAATAAAAAACGTATTTACGGCGCCACCCTCACCGCAGGTTGATCCACTGACAAGAAAGTTGACGCTGTCCCTTAATGAAAGCCCCCGCCCATAAAACGTCACCATCCCCTTCTGGCCGGCGTAAATCGGATACGGGCGGATGGTGTAGATGGGATTACGACTCTGTGTGACAACAGTGCCATTTATGCGTGCGTAACTGTCCTGACCGCCCTTGCGGTAGCATATGTGCAGCGTCAGCCCCTGATTCAAAGGTGGATCTATTATGGCAACGCACTGTGGTTGATTCCCACCACTCAATTTGCATGGAAACTGCGGTATTTCCGGCAACAGGCCGTTGCAGTATAGAAATGTTGTCAAAAATGCATCATCTGTCGAAGCATCCAGCCCAGTCCCGACAAAGAAAAGAGTGATAGATTCCCCCGTGGACGGACTTTCCGGGACAATCGTAAAACTGGTTGGCTGCAGGATATCAATAACAAAATCATCCATCGGTGACGCCGGGTTCTTTCTTACAGAAGACCATAATAAACTGCCTGCATGGCGATAACATACAATACCTCGCATCTGTTGTGTGATGAGTTCTGGTGCAATAAACGTGACATTCACAAGAGTCTCGCTGACGGCCACAAGACGGATAAGCCTTAAATTGGTCAGTAACGGCGCCGCCGGAGACCCACATGTACTCCCACTCCGAATAACACGAACTACATCCCTATCTGTCAGGTCTCTACCAGTCAGCAGCATGTAACTCAACTCACGTGCCTGTGGCGCTGCGGGAGTAACGCTGTAGGAAGTTGGATTGGCCTCACCAAAATTGATAACTGGCGTAGATCTGTCGTCCGTCACAACCGTGTATGACATCTCCACACTCGTGCCGCATCCCACAGATGCATCGTAGCAATATGGAACGCAAATGGCGTAACCGTTGGGCGAGGGTACATACGGCACTGTGAAACTACCCGTAACAGACATCGTCATCACACCGCGCAGATTACTCAACAAAATGCTGTCTGGCGGTTGACTGGCGCACAACTCTGGTAGATTATCGGTCCCACCGCAGTTTGCACCGGTTCCCTTACAGGGGATGAGAAAAATGGTGTTGGCACCACCGAGCCCTTGATTAATAGGACGACCCGTCTGCGCTTGTTCACTAACGGTGAGGTTCACCAACTCAAGCCCACCAAATGCAAACTGTGGCTGCATGTTGTAGTGGTTATACACACTTGACCAGACCATTATGGGGGAGCTCTGATCGCCTCTACTAAGCCACGTCAAGTACGCCTTCCCCTGTGTAATGTAGCAGATGAGGTACGAACTGCCAACAGTAAAGACGCTGCTCTTCACGACAATCGTGGAAAAGCCCAAAAGTCCCATTCCATTGGACGCCGTTACAGTAAACTTGTTTTCTGGGTTTCCACTCCCCGCCGGATTGCAGGCGGGGTCATTGTTATTGTTTTTTTCAACAAAATAAAATGTATCCCCTGTGCGTATCGGCGGATCACCGAGAAAAATATTACTACTGAACCGCAGCTGCGCAGTTTGATAAAGTGAGAGCTGCAGAACGTTGGTTGGCACAAACACAAGGGCGGCCTCGGCCACATTCCCGAGGATCGCCACGCCAAGGCACAACAATGTCAATAACACAACAGTAGCTCGAGAGAACACCAATTTCCTCCCTCCTCTTCCTCTTCTTCTGTCTTCTTCGTGTCGCTCCATCGTTAATGTAACTCTATTATTCGTTGAAATGACGTCAAAATTACACCAGCGGCATCTTCTCCTCCTTCCAGCATGCGTGCCACCCCCTGCCTTCGAAATCATTCCACCAGGAGACAGACGATTGAACGCCACCTTCTGCGAAATAGTCATCTCTCTCTCTCTCTCTCTCTCCCTCTATATATATATACAAGTAATTAATTAAATATATGAAGAATGGGAACGATCCCTCCCTCCCTCCCTCTCTCTCTCTCTCTCTCTTTGTTCTTTTTTTTTCGTCCTCTGCTCTCTGTCAGCTCCAATGTGTTTTCTGTCTCCAGGGGCAACAGGGAGACGGCGGTGGTCGTGGGGCTCCGAAGTGAATACACACCGGAAAATAAATAAATAAATAAATAATAAGCAGGCAGTAGGACTGCAATATTGATGGCGATACAAGTAAGGCGCCGTCACACCCCTACAGATGTGAAACAACAACAACCAAAAGAAAAAGGAAGGAAGGGACAGACCGGGGCCGTCGAAAAAAAAAAAAAAAAGAGTGGGGCTGCAAACGAGGGTCGGGCAAACACCGAAAAGCGGAAGCGGCACTCGACTCGTGTTATCACCCAACCCCCCAACCCACTCCCCTTCTCTCTCTCTCTCTCTCTCTTGTCAATGTATGCGCGAATGTACCGACCCTGCCGTGTCTCCTTCTCCTCCACGGATCGCTCTGTCTTCTGATTGCAGAGGTGGCGAAGTTATCGGGACTGGCTGCTGTCTACACGTGGAACACTTCCCCTCCCCCCCCCCCCACTCCTTTCTTTGTTTTGTTTGCCGATTTATTTGTGTTTCAATTCCAACTTCTTTTGCTCCTTTTTTAAAATTGTTTTGGTTTGTGTTGTTTCTTCGCCCCCCTTTCCGTCTATGATTTTGTCGTCTCTCCCTGCAGGGCGTATGAATACGATGCTGCGGGCCCTGCTCTTCCAACCTCACACACACACACAAGTCAAATAATTGAGTTTCTCAACTGAGAAGAGACGAGGCTGGGCGCCGGCCTCTCGTTATGCCTGCTTGTATAATATAATATAATGTATGTATGTTATATATATATATATATATGTGTGGTGTATGTATATATGTCTATCTATATATCTATATGTATGTATATTCAATATAAATGCCCTTTACTGCTGCAGTGAATGAAAAGGAAGATGAGGCAACAAAACAACAACAAGAAAAGATTTATAGCACAACACACATGCATGCGTCAGAGGCAGCACTCACGTCATTACATCCAGACATCGACACACACACACACAGCGAGAGAGAGATCGACAAAGCCATGCACCCAAACCGCCTTCTCTCCTCCTCCTCTCTCTCTCTCTGTCTGTCTGTCTGCCTTTTTCTTCACCCTCCCATCCATCCATCCATCCATCCATTCATTACATGTTCATTTCATTTCGCCCACTTCTCTTCACTCCTTCTTTCCCTCTTTTCCCTACAAATCCAAGTTCTCCTCCCCAGTCACCGGCTCCACCTCTCCCTTTTAAAACAAATTTTTTATTTTTTAATTTTTATTTTAGATTTTTCTTCCTTCTCTCCGCTACTTTTATTTTCCTTTTTTTTTTTGTGCGCGCACAACCCGCACACATGCACCCACTTCCCCCCTCTGCGTATATAAATATAAATAAATAAATAAATAAATAAATATATTTAAACATGTCTCTCTCTCTCTCTCTCTCTCTCTCTCTCTCTGTGTGTGT